TTTTCAAATACAAAAAATAAAAAAAAATTTAAAAAAGATTACTGATGAAATTTATTTTAATAAAAAATAAAATATATTTCTTGGCGATTTTTCAAATTAAAAAATAGAAAATAATTTGATTAAATTACTGACGGATTAACGATAAAATTTAATTAAATACATAATTAATTAAAATTCGTCACTAATCCGTCGGTGAAATGATATGACCGACAAGATTCATGCACAATCTTTCACACTTATTAATATGTTAGTGTATTAGAGCACATAACCGTGTTCAAGTTAGCCATCAATTAGATATAAGTAATTCATGCATATATACTAATAAACACTAACGACGAATTTTAATTAATTATGCATTTAGTTAAATTTTATCGTATCTGTCAGTTTTTAATCAAATTGTTTTCTATTTTTTTAATTTAAAAAATCACTAACGGAATATATTTTATTTTTAATTGAAATAAATTTTATCAATATTCTTTTTCAAATCTTTTTTTTTTAATTTTTTTTAATTTGAAAAATTATATACGAATTATATTTTATTTTTAATTAAAATAAATTTAATCAATAATCTTTTTTAATTTTTTTAATTTAAAAAATCACTAAGAAAATATTTTATTTTTAAATAAATTTCATTAATAATCTTTTTTAAATATTTTTTTTTTTGTAAAATACACGTACTTTTTGGTATATTTGTTTTATTTTATAAATGTCAATACTTTTTTGGTTCAAAAAAGTTTAGAGACTTGATCGTTTAAAATATGAAAGTCCATTAGTTTTATTTTTCCAGACGTTTTTCATTATTTTACCATATTAACAAGTTTTAGAAAGTACAAAAAATTATTTATTAGGTTTTGGAATGTCCAAAAACTTATTTGTTCTAGAAAATTATCAAAGTACTTAGTTAATGTCTATTGAGTTTTTTTCGACATTTTTCAACTTCTTATTAATATTAATGAGAATTATAGTTAAAAGAAATGGATTAAAAGCATGTAAATATTGTAATTGTGTTGTTTTATTATGTCAGTCAGGCTGTATGCCAAAAAAGTAGAGGATATAACCATGGATTTTATACGCATGAATCCATAGACCATAGTTTTGTGTTTCTTTATTCGCCTCGTACTTTCCTCTCAATTTGCAGTTGGCACTCTCTGCTTCGACTACTCCGAAGATTGGAAGCTTTACACATATGAACCATCGTTCTTCTCGATAATCATCCATTCTCTTCATCTCTAATCCATGGCCTCTATATACACTTCTCATTTCACCATTATAATCAATTAGCTACTTCTATTTGGATCCTAATTGCTCTGTAAATGGCGAATGCATCTGGGTTTCTCACACCAACTATGATTTCTTCATCTATTGGTATAAATCGTTCTGGGTTTTTTAACCCTGATGCAATCTCCAAAAGGGTTCGTTGCTCCACTACTTCCCAAGGAGTTGAGAGTTTTTCCCCTCCTGAATCTCGTGTTCCCAATCCCAGGTCAGTTCTTAGTTTCTTATTCATGGGGTTTTCTGTGATTTATCGATAAAAATTTGTGCGTTTTAAGTTGGGCTTTGTTGGAAAACTTGATTTATCCGAAATTGTAGCTTGTTTTGGTGCAAATTATGCGAGTATATAAGCACCAATATGCTACTCTTGTGTATTGCATTTCGATTTTTGAGGTCGAAAGGACTAATTTTCGACTTCTGAATCCTTACATTCATAGGGTCCAATCGATTTAGGTCATCTAATTATCATCTTGATACATGGAGTTTCATAACTTCAAAATTGATGTATTTTCCTTCAGTCAATTTGTTTAGCCTACTTCATTTTGTGGATCTATATATCTTGTAAATCTTATAACAAAACGGTGATAATCTAGTTAACTTTGAAGAAGTAACGAAAATTGCTTGTTGCAGATTTATACAGTAAACTATGTCAATATTGCAAGAGATGACCTCAGAAGTCAAACTTTGGCTTTGTTTGAAGTTAAAATCAATGAATGATTTCGTATGCAATTAGTTGTTCATGAAAAAGCCCATAAATTTGGATTGAAAATTGTTGTGGTGGTGATATTGGTGATGGTGGAGTTTGTACTGAGGTACCAATGAAATTGATCAAGTAAGAGTTGTCTTGTTGAACTTTGAAGTTCGTATAGTTTATGGACTTTGAAGGAGTTGAATATATTATCAATTCTTCTTAGATTGATTAGCATTTTCGAACCATGAGTTGGTAGAAAATAGCTAAAGAATCACTATAGTTGGCTAAAAGCAACAAAAGCTGGCTACTTTTTTTGTATTTTGCTTGAAATGGATGCCAAGCACAATGGTTTGAAATGTTAATCGCTCATTTTGCTTGAAACGCTATGGTTGGTTGAAAAATAAGGCGAAAACCATTATAGTTGGCTACTACTATGCGGTATTTGCTGATTATTCTTTTCTGCATTTTCAAAAATGTGTTGGCTGTTTAGTAGCAAGAAGTGTCAAGTACAATCAGGGGTCTTCACGGGAACATGCGCTCTACTCTTTGGGGTAGGGGACAAGTCTACGTACATCCCACTCGGTGGGGTCTACTGACTTGTTTGGTTTGGTTTAGGTGTCAAGTACAAGTTTTTGAAAAGGCAATAACTCAATTTGCTTATGTCAATGATCAAAATTCATGATTAAGGATCGATTGACCTGACCTTTTTTTCATGTTGAAGAGGTTACTTGATGCTCAACTAAACCAAGTCAAACCAAACAATCCCAACATGTCCCATCCGGAGGTGAGATCTAGGGGGTGGTGGGAGATTTGACTTCTACCCCAAAGAGTAGAGCGACTGTTTTAGTGAGGACTTGAGTGCTCAACCCTTCTTTTCATTTGATTGTCTCTTCAAATTTACTCATAATTTCAAGATTTTAACTTTTGGAAGGAACATCTAACTGATGCCTTCTATGGATATGCCTCCGGATCATCATTACCATTCTCTTTTTCATGCATTTGAATTGTGAGAACTGAGAAATGATGTAGAAGTCACTACACATTTTCAGCAATGACCATGTTTGCATTGTTGTAAAGTTTCATGCAAAATACAAGTCAGGTTGTTGAAAATTTGTGTAGAAACTGCTGACAACTAATTTCCCTGTCTGAATTCATACGCTGTAAAAACGAAGATTGTTTAACCCTCTTTGTAGTTGCATATGAATTCAGAAGATTTACCAATTTAAGATTTTTTATTTTTTGACAAATAACAGGCTTGTAAGCAAGGGCTGCAAACTAGTTGGATGTGGCTCAGCTGTGCCTCAACTTCAGATTTCTAATGACGATCTTGCTAAAATTGTTGATACTAATGATGAATGGATATCTGCTCGAACTGGAATTCGCAATCGAAGAATTCTTACAGGTTAGTTTTTTGCTTGAGGACAGATGTTTTTAATGCTTATTAAGATCTAACCTTAAGCTCATTGTTTACAACTATGCCCGATTGAATCAAGTTATGTTTCTTTCGAGTTTCTTCCTTTATACTTCCTCTGATAAAAATTGCACTCAAATATTTATACTACCCTTCAACTTATAGGCATTGATGTAGACAAAAGTCAATACCAAATATGTGATTTATAATAAAGACATCATTACAATCATACGTAAAAATGGCTTGAATTTCTTACGAAAAAAGGAAACCAACTACAGGTAACGAGAGCTTGACTGGTCTGGCTGTGGAGGCTGCTCAAAAAGCACTTCAAATGGCAGAAGTAGAACCTGATGATGTGGATCTTATCCTATTGTGTACATCAACCGCAGAAGATCTATTTGGTGGTGCTCCCCAGGTTGAACCTGCTGACATGGATTAGTCTTGCTTTTCTTTCATAAATTTCCTTCGAACCCTTTTACTGATTCTTCTTTATTCCCATTTGCTAGATTCAAAAAGCACTTGGATGTAAAGGGAATCCTCTTGCTTTTGATATCACGGCTGCTTGTAGCGGGTTTCTACTGGGCCTAGTATCAGCTTCTTGTTATATTAGAGGCAAAATTTTGTTTTCTTTTGGTTCCTCTCGAAACGACTTGGTTTGGTTTTCTTTCAAGTTCTTGTCATTCTAACACTCTGAACTTGCTCTTCAGGAGGTGCTTTCAAAAATGTACTTGTGATTGGAGCAGATTCACTCTCTCGTTATGTTGATTGGACCGATAGAGGGACTTGCATTCTCTTCGGTGATGCTGCTGGTGCTGTTCTGGTCCAGGTATGTGTTGGATGTGTTCGGTAACTGTTATAAGTGACTCCTTTTGTCTCATGAAAATTCTAGCACTTTTCTTATGGGATGTCTCATCAACTTTACAAGATTTTCTTTCTTGGAAAGTTTTCACATCAAAATCACTTTTTTTTCTTCACATTATGTCATTTGTACTGATTTGGGTCAATTTCTCTTTTTTGTCTTTATTGAAGGGTATCTATAGCGAAACACTCTTGTATGCATACTCCACTCGTTTTAGTGTTCATTATTTCTGTTTTCTGCATGTCCTTTTTTGGTAGAATAGAGGATGACAATATCAGGGTCCCACTGAGTAGCAAAGCATATGGACCCACAAAATTGCAATATGGTTAAAACCAAATGAAACAAACCCAGTATATTGGTCTCCCACGAGGACCAATATACTAAAAAAGAGACGAAGAGACTGTCTCCAGGGAGGCCTCATGGAATTATTAAGGATTATTTTGTCTATTTAGTAATCATGCAGATACAACATGTTTGTGAATCACTTGATTTCTGGCATTTTCTGCAGGCATGTGATAGCGAAGAGGACGGTTTATTTGGTTTTGACTTGCACAGTGACGGCAACGGCAACAGGTAATATCCATAGTTCCCATTCACTGCAAATGTATTCAAAATGTGAACTTTTTTCATAACCCCCACAGGCACCTGAATGCTGCTGCAATCCAAGAAAATGGATCAGATCATGCATTGGGTACAAATGGTTCGGCCTTAGGGTTCCCGCCAAATCGCTCGTCTTTTTCATGTATAAAAATGAATGGAACAGAAGTCTTTCGCTTTGCTGTTAGCATTGTTCCACAGACCATAGAGGCTTCACTAGCAAAGGCTGGTCTTGGTCACTCAGATATCGACTGGCTACTGCTCCATCAGGTATCAATCAATTCATACTTTGCACTACAACAAAATCGGTTAATAGGATGCCATATTACAGTCTTCCTATTGTAACACTTTTAGATAGGATACACAATTGTTGGTTTTATAAGTATAAATCTATGAATCAGTGAATTATGACATTTTTTGCATCTTATGATGCCAATTTTGTTGTAGTGGTGGGTTCCACAGAGGGATATTTGGTGTGTTGTTCTTTCTTTACCTGGTGACGGGTGAAGGAACTGAATCATGATTGGATAAACTTGCTTTTCCATGACGGGCATTTCTGTAATTTTACTTGCAGGCGAACCAGAGGATCATTGATGGAGTAGCAACAAGATTAGAAGTCCCAAAGGATAGGGTGATATCGAACCTTGCAAACTATGGCAACACGAGTGCAGCTTCAATTCCGTTGGCATTAGATGAAGCCGTTCGAAGCGGGAAAGTCAAACAAGGTCAAACCATCGCGACTGCTGGCTTTGGTGCTGGTCTTACATGGGGTTCTGCTATCTTGAGATGGGGTTAGAGTTGTCTTTAACCATGGTTTTGTATGTTTGCAGTTATTTGGTGGGAATGGTAAGGAAAACAAAGAAAAAGATGTTGTAAATTGTTTGCAAAATCTAGAATTTTATAGATTTTTGTGTGGGTGGAGGCATTGTTTTTCTATTTCATCATCTTCTAAACTGTGAACTTGAAAAAAAACATCAATAAAATTTCATTCTTTTTCTTCATTCTGCATTTAAATTCTCTTTCTGGTATGATGAAAATCCATATTTTTGTTACTATCATCACATATTTTGCATTCTAGGTTTCGCTTCAATATCTCGGCCCCAAAAAGACTTCTACGTTGTATACGAGACAATGTTGCCGAAAACAACTAAAACAAGTAGTTAGATCATTCATAATAAACGATACCAATTACAATTGTACAAAATGTTTTAGGCGGGTCGGTCAAAACTCGAGAAACCCCATGTTATCTTTTTTTACTGTTGGTATCGGCACCAGCTCAAGGTCTAACTTTTATTTACCAGCTGAGCTGACCCGAGTAAACATTAGAGTTTTGGCGATGATTTGATGAAATCTTTTCTATAAACTGTAGTAATATCGATAGGACGAAAATAAATTATCCCCACATTTAATTAATAACAAAAATCTATGAACTCTATCACTGATCAGCAACATCGTCAAGTCTGGCTTTAATCCTTTGAAGTGTACCTTCAATGGCGATATCAAATGCATCTTTCTTGGTCCTCAAACCCAATGAACTCCCATGTTTTCTGTACATAATTCTGGGAATCATCTCAATCAATTTATCCCTCATTCTTCCTGTTACACTTCTTGGAATACCTTTCAAAATCTCCAACACACTCACACCTTTGAACACCACATCCTCCTTAGGAATCAGCACCGAGAATTCCTTGTATTGATCTTCCGGTAGATGCCATCCGTATTGCTTTTTGGCTGACAATTCTTCGAAGAACACTGGTATGCAGCCTGCCAGAATGCTGTCGAATGTTGACCGCCGTGTTGGGGTGTCTCCGGGAGGTTGCAGGCAGAAACTAGCGTGTAACATTGGTTTCATGAATTTGATTGGATCATGTTCACAGATCCCGCTTGAGCAATCGACAAACTCGCATAGTCTGGAATATCGGTTGCTTTTCTGAGTTGTGTTTTCGATTTTGGAATTGTTGTCGCATTCCAATCTGATGCTCCGTCGCACGGTGGGTGTGGAAGAAATCCCACCGCCGCCGGCAAATAACATCAGGGTTGATCTTCTTGATCTACGAACCCTTTTGATCCATGAATCTAAGAGTGCTAGATTTGGTGGATGGAATGATGTGAGATAAGGGATTGATTGTTCTTGCCAAGGGTAAGCTCTGGATTCCAATGTTAATGCGGTGATGTTGAAAAACTCCGGCAATTCCAGAAACGAAGTCCCCCATAACGGCGGATCATTATCCAATGGCTGGCTGACATCCCATGCGCTGCCGGCGAGTACCAGGAAATGGTCGTGGCCTTGGTGGTTGAGCCAGATCTCCGGCGAATCTTGGTAGCGGAGGAATTTGTAGAGATGGAGGCCGTGTTGGGAGGAGGAGTTGTAGTCGGGGCCAAAGAGGTAGTGAAGGGAGTCAAGGGAGGCGTAGTAAGGTAGATAGATGGCGTCGGCGGTGGAGGGATCGGAGGTGAGACAAGGGTATTCGAGCATACGGCGGTGGAAGAAGAGTTCGAGAAGGGAAGGATCGGTGCGGAACCATGAGTGGGATCGATTGTGGGTTTTGGTGCCGAGACCATGATTAGAGATGAAAGGACAGAAGTCGTCAGAGAAAGGGTGGTGGGTGGTGGAGCAATTGGTGAGGATATCGAGATTGAAGCGTGGTGGGAGGTGGCGGATGTGGATCCAGCGATTGGTGCAGTCGGAGTCCAGATCGGATTGTTGTTGGAGGGTGGGGAAAGGGAAAATGGTGAGAAAGAGTAGGAGGATGATAGCGGTGGTGGTGGAGAACGGCGGAGATCTGGGTGGTGCCATGGTGGAGAGATGATCGGGAAAAGGGAAGAGAGAGAACGGCACGATGAATTCTGGCCTTCCGCTTGGTTTATTCTGTTTTTGAGTGAATTACAGAAATGAACCCTTGATATTCGTAAATTTCTACTTTTACCCCCTTAACATTTGTGTTTTACGTTGATTCACATTTTCATCTTTCATGGCCTCACCAATCTACACAAATAACTACGAAGGACCTAAAAAACCAATATTGCCTTGGAAAAAAATTGCAATAATTCGAAATAAAAAATTACAGATTATATCAATTGCTAAAATACATGCTTCGATTTTTAAAATTTTGGATAGGATGTTAATTACTCCGTTAACTTATATATATATATATATATATATATATATATATATATATATAGAGAGAGAGAGAGAGAGAGAGAGAGAGAGAGAGTGTTTGTTTTAAATACAACCCGTCGTATTTGTACAACCAATGCAACCCAATAAATTGAGATATTTATGGAAATGATGAGAGTTCATTTATTATGATTTGAATATTTATGGAAGATGAATATGGTTCATTAATTTGTACAACCAATACAACATATTCAAAATGCATGAAATAACAATCTACTTTTACAAAAAAAAAATTATTATAGCATTCTACTTTCAGTTTTTTCTTATTACAACAATTTATTTTCAAAATATTTTTTATTAAGGCATCATACTTTCAAAAATTTACCCGTTATAGCATTGAGTAACCTGTTACCTTTTGAACAGGTTTTTCTTTGTTGACGTGTCAATCTTAAAATGACATGTAAGCCACATAGGATAACTTACATGCCATTTAAAAGCTAAAATCTAATTTAAAACAATTTTAAAAAACAACTCTTTCAAACGCTAATCTGGAAGATGTTAATTAATTCCAGAAATGATAATTCAACATCTATAAATACGGGTTATAGTTTGAATATGGTGTTATCGTTTGAAGTTGGGAAGATGAAGAGCCAGAAGAGGGTGATGGGGGCGGGGGATGATGGGTGCGGGGAAGGAGGAAGAGCATAATCGATTAGGGTTTGAGAAAGAGTTCCAATTTATTTATTAACTAGTTTTTCAAAATAAAAATATATATTTTACAAAGAAATTTATATATTAAATCCACATCAACAAATAGTGAGTTGTATGACATGTCATTTGTCATGTCAATACGTAGACAGCCTACGTGGACGATGACGTAGCAAAGAAACATGATATAATGGATAAATTTAATTTAAAAGGTTACTCAATGCTATAACATGTGAATTTTTAAAAGTACGATATCCTAATAAAAAATATTTTGAAAGTATATTGCTGTAATAAGAAAAACTGAAAGTAAAATGCTATAATAAGGGAACTTGTAAAAGTAGGTTGCTATTACGCGTATTTTGCCCTACTTTATATTAGGAAACAATTAAAACTTCTATGAAATCACATATTAATCAAATAAAATGAATGGTTGAGATTGGGTTGTATTGATTGCACAAATGTCAAGGGTTGTATAATAACCAACCTCTCTCTCTATATATATATATAGGAAAGGGTTCAAACGAGAACCCCTGTGATTTACGAAAACGCAAGAACAACATATTAACCTCATATTGTGATAACAATAAAAATTAAAAGATTTTTTAAATTAAAAATGAAATTAAAACAATTCAAAAAAAATTGAGAGGCAAAAGGGTAATATTGGAATTCAAAGTGATAAAATTTTAAAAACATGATCACATAAACCCAATAATTTGGATAACATAATAGACTATTATGGTTATCACTTATTACAACATGATTTGGTGTGATTTGGGTGTGATAATCATGTGATTATCACATAATTATCACAATGATTCCGCTCGGCTAGGGTTAACTTAGGAAATAGACTACCAGTTTGGTCACTTTGGTGTGATATGGGTGTGATAATCATGTGATATCACTATTATAACAACGCACTCGATTTGATTATGGTTTCAATTGATCAGGGTTATACAATCACATAATTATCACAACGATTACTCATGGTTTCGATAGGTTAGGATTAGACAATAACACATTTATCACAACGATTAAGGGCGAAATCCACTAAACGATTGGGTGTGATAATCATGTGATATCACTATTATAACATCACTTGCGCACTCAATTTGATCATGGTTTCGATCGATTAGGGTTAGATAATCACACATTTATCACAACGATTACTCATGGTTTGGATAACTTATTATTACACTCGATTGATTATGGTTTCGATAGGTTATGGTTACACAATCACACAATTATCACAAGGGAAGAGAAGAGAGTGGAAACGAACTTGCAGAAAAAAAGGATAATTATAATTAATTAAAATAAAATAAAAATATAAAAATTACTTAATTACATTACTGCCCTTATTAATGTATTTATATAATATAAATTAATTTATTAATTAAAAAGTTTGAGGATATTGGGTTGTTCTTACATTCTCGTAAATCACAAGGGTTCTTGTTTGAATCTCCACATACACACACACACACACACACACACATACACACACACACACACACACACACACATATATATATATATATATATATATATATATAGGTGGAGATTCAAACGAGAACACCTCCATTTTATGATAACACAAGAACACCCTTATCACATGTGATAATACGCGTGATGGGACCCTGTGATGTGTGAATGACGTGTTCTATGACTTAGGCCGCGTCAAATGTTGTCTGCGTCTATGATTTAGTATCACATGTGATGGTTTTGATTGATTATAGTATCATATCAACAACAACCTTATCACATGTGATAATACTTTTGAGGGAGTTTAGTAGTGTAAGGGCGACTTGGCCTACAACCAAGATCGCATCGAAAATCGTCTGCGACATGTGTATCATATGTGATAGAATAATAGTATCACGCGTGATTGTCTATGGTAAAAGGGTGTTCTCACGTTCTCATAAAATGAATGTGTTCTCTTTTAAACCCTTCTATGTATATATATGTATATATATAGGGGCCCATTCAAGAGAGAACTGATTAGTTTGTGGTAACTGTGAGATCCAATCTTAACCACAAATCAACGGATAAATTAGAAAATTAATAATTATGATAGTTTGAGTTAAAATCATAATTAGAGGGCAATTTAGGTATTTTTTTTAAAAACTTCTCTCTCCTCTCTTCTCTCTCCGACCTCCGGTGAACAAAAATCCGGCAGGTACCAAGTAATCACAAAGATACACAATGTGATACCCATTGTGATATAGTGTGATATCATTTGAGTACCACTGTATATCACATTATGTATCTTTGTGATTACTTGGTATCTGCCGGATTTTTGTTCACCGGAGGCCGGAGATTGGAGGTCGGAGAGATGAGAGAGGAGAGAGGAGAGAGAAGAGATGAGAGAGGAGTTTTCTAAAATTACCTAAAATGCACTCTAATTATAATTTTAACTCAAACTACCATAATTATTAATTTTCTAATTTATCCATTGATTTGTGGTTGAGATTGGATCTCACAGTTACCACAAATTAATCAATTCTCATTCATATTTTTTTTACTATTGATATTTCATGTTCATTCTTGTATGAATTCCTAAATCACATAAGAAACACGGTAGTAACAATTTTCGGTATTGATCAATTTGAACACAAAATGAACCTTGAACACAATTTGAACAAAAATGAACAACCGTGAACATGATATGAACACGATATGAACACGATATGTGCAATTTTTGGCCCATATATTCACATACATAGACGTCCCACAAAATTAAGGTAGCATTTGTTAATTTGTGTTCATCTGTTAATTTGTTCAAATTGTGTTCACGGTTCATTTGTGTTCAAATTGTGTTCACGGTTGTTCATTTGTGTTCAAATTGTGTTCACGGTTGTTCATTTGTGTTCAAATTGTGTTCACGGTTTATTTGTGTTCAAATTGATCAATACCAAAAATCATTACTACCGTGTTTCTTATGCGATTTAGGAATTCATACAAGAATGAACATGGAAGATCAATAGTAAAAAAAAAATTAATAGTATGAATGCATATTTTTTGGGATTTGATTGTTTGTAACTCCTCATTAATTGTTTGGGGGTTACAAATGAATTCAATTTACTAGAATACCCTTGTAAGGGTAAAATGAACAAGACATAAACCTATAAGAATAATGAAATTTGATTGGTTAAGAGGGTTTTCAAAGTTAACAAAAAAATGATGGTTAACATTTGATCTTCTCTCTCTCTCTCTCTCTCTATATATATATATATACTCTCTATATATATATATATATATATATATATATATATATAGAGAGAGAGAGAGAGAGAGAGAGAGAGGTTGGTTCAAATACTAATCAAGAATTTTGTGTTAACTATACTAACTAAGACTAACCAATCATATTCTTTATTTATTTTATGTTCAAATGTAACTTATAAATTAAATACAAAGGTGATTATGTAATTTGACCTTTATGTAACTCCCTAATAATTAATTGAGAGTTACAAATCTTAAAGATCCCTCTAATTGATCATTAGGTAATTCCGATTTTTATCTTCATTTGTGTTCATAATCGTGATTTCAAGTGATGTTCTACATATAATGATATTCGTTTTGTAAGTCTAAAAGATTTCTGTATCGTTCGAGTAATATGGATAATAATATTGTAAATCATATTGATAACAATGGAAATGACAAAGTTAAAATCAGATACGACTACGGTCGAAATTCGAATTCCGATGATGAAGAAGATGATCAAAGCGTTCCRATTGGTAAGTGATTAGTGTGACATTTATTTTGTTTAAATGAATAGCTATTACCGTTGTGAACCATTAAATATTCTTGCAAATATAGTTGAATTCGTTGAAAAATCTGATGCACATTCTGCATCTGCATTTGTTTAGGGATTAATTTAGTTGATAGAGAAATAGATATGAACAGATTATAAGAGATATGGACACACATTAACACATATGAAACTGCACAAATCAAATAGATATAGATGTTATGATTCATTAGTGTTCAATTGTATGAAATGCATTAGATTTTCATATTGACACACATGAACAATTAAATCACATATCAAGAGATACTAAGACATAAGGACACACACAACATATGAACACATAGCAAAGACAGAATATGTGGATATCGATACATATGCACAACTACATCACATGAATATGAACATGATTTTTGAGTAGTATGTCATGTCGTTGTTCATATCGATACATATACACAACGCGTTCACATGAACATGTGATCAGGCTCTGTGATTCATGTGAACAACGCCTTTTTACATTTTTACCATGTGAATCCATTGTTCACATATTATTAATTAATATATTAATTAAATAATTAAATTCTTATTATCATTAAACCACAACCGTTAGATGTTCAAATCAACGACCTAGATCAGTTAACAAAGTTAACACGATAACATTGGTTAGTATTTTAACCGGCTCATATATATATATATATATATATATATAAATGGAATGGAATAGAAACCATTCTCCGTCAAAAATGTAAATGTAAATTTCATTAAATTTAAATATTTCTGATCTTGAATCCATTATCTCGACAACATGATCCAAATCCCACAATCAAACTACCTGAAGATTTCCCAATCTTTTTCCCCCAAAAAGATGTTCAAATCTTTATGTAAGTGTCTCCTTTTTCCACATCAAATTCTTTGAATTCATGAATTATGTCATCCATTAATTATTTCATCAACTATCCATGCAGCTCGGAAGAAACCCACCGGTCGCCGCCGATTCAGGGACTACTACACCGATTGGATCAACACCCTCAAGACCGTCCACCTCCCACTCCTCCGTCACCACATGTCTTCCACAACCTCCACTTCCTCCCCCAACCTCCTCTCCGCCCACGTTGAAATCATCCACCACCACTTCAAATCCTACTACCATACCCTCGACCTCGCCGCCGCCAGCGACGTCTCTCAAATTCTATTCCCCACCGACCACCGTAACGCCATGGAACTCCCTTTCCTCTGGCTAGGCGACCTCCACCCCTACCTCTTCACTAACCTCCTCCGATCGTTCCTCCTCCAACACGACGACAGTTCTTCGCAGAATGAACCAGAGAACGACGATGAAGACTACGATTACCAGGGACACCAAGAACAAGAACAAGAAGAAGAAGAAATCGAGGTGGGTGAATCTTGCGAGTTCTTGAAGAAACAGTGGCCGTTGATGAATGCTTGGAAGATCCAGTCACGTAAATTAACGACAAGAATCGATCAGATCGAACGTGGGCTAAGGTTGATGGTGCCAGCATTGATGAACAGAGTAAGAAAAGCTCAGGCAGGGTTTATCCAGAAAGTTGGTTCCGGCGAAGTGAGTGCAGTGGTGGCGGCGGCGGAAATGGAGGAGGAGATGGTGGGGATAGTGATGGATGCAAATAGGATGCGAAAGGATGTGATATCCGAGATTGTGAGTGTGACGAGTGTATATCAGGCAGCTCTGTTTCTTGAAGGATTAGCCCAATTTCTTGTTGGGTTACGAGATGGGAAATTGTTGCAGGAATTCAAGAGCTGTAAATCGCCAATCAATTCGTGAAATCCAATCAAATTGGGTTCTGATTGTGGATGATCTTGCTGATATCTGATTCAAGATCACATTTCTCATGTGTTTGTAATTTAAAGTGTTGATTTTGATTTAGTCCTCAATTGTTTTCAATTCAGAGGTAGGAATTTGGGTGCATTTATATGCATAAGAGGCAAGTTAATACATGCAGTAAAAAACGAAACGCCTTTCTATTTTCTTCTTGAAATGGTTTTGATGGAAAAGAGTACGTCATGGATGTTGTTAGAGCTTTTTCTTCAACCGTGCCACCGTGGATGTCGTTAATGTGCATATCGACTAATCACCGAGGCTCTAAAAAACAGTCGGTAAAATCGTCAATGATTTTACAGCACTCGAACTGATGAGCTCTAAAGAGAATCCCCAAAGGTTCAACCCTTATTGCCGGTTAAGCTAATTCCACAAGGTTGACTTTGTGTTCGTGTTCCTTTTTTTGGAAATCAAGTGTATTCATGTTCGTTAGTTAACATGCTAAACGAACGTAAACGAACGAACGAACATAAAGGAACAGACTAAATAAGCATAAACGAATAGGTCTAAACGAACATAAACGATGAAAAGATAAAATTTTCAAATAAGACAAAATGATGATAAAGTTTAAATTTAAATAAATTTTAAAAAAAATAAAATTTAAATAAATATTATTTGAATTCAAGCTAAATAAATAAAATATTATATATTAAATTTAATATATAAACGAACTAATATAAACGAATGTTCACGAACATAAATGAACTAACGAGACTTTCATTCATGTTCGTTTGTTTAACTAAACGAACAAAAAAAATTGTTCATATTTATTCATTTATTAAATAAACGATTATAAACAAACTTCGATAAGGAAACATAAAAACGATCTAGCATTATTTGAAATTTTATTATACAAATTATTAAATCAGATGTTGATTTTCATTTTTAGAAAAGTGGGTTATATACTTATATTATATCTACTTCTTGGTTGGGCCATTGCATCATTTTCCTTGTTTTTTCTTAAATTACTATTTAGTAACGAAAATAAAATTTAGTTTTTCATTTAAATGATGTTAATGGGCTTTAATTTAATGACGGAGACGGACCATGATTCTTTACAATGACACTAGGCCCATATTTGGCCTACCTAATAATCTAATAACGGGTACTGGGCCCAATATGCAAGTTAATAAGTAACTTTTTCTTTATCTATACTATATTATAAAGCATTTGATAAAAACTTTTAAAAACCATTTTTTATACGTAAATTATTGTTTATTAACACATATTACTTAAAAGTTACTCAATATTACAAATAGATTGTGTGTAAGTACAACTTATTAAAGCTCCATATCTAAATTCGTGTAACTAACTGCAGATAAACATAATCAAATACAGGATAAACATCTCATTTTAAATATAAAAAATCTAAAATATAATTAAGATAATCATTGAGTTCTAACAGAATGTTTAATTATTATCTTT